CTCAGCCATGGGAACAGTCGAAATCACGTTAACTCAGCCATGGGAACAGTCGGAATCACGTTAACTCAGTCATGGGAACAGTGGGAATCACGTTAACTCAGTCATGGAAACAGTGGGAATCACGTTAACTCGCCTTACCCGATACGGCTTCTGACGCAACAACAACTTACATATCCGAAGACATTCTATATATAAATATTATATTGATATAATCTGAATCTGAACATTAACAAAATGTTTTACAAACGAAACTGGTTCAAATTTCAGAATATGTAGCGACACAGCTTGATTCAGTCCGATGTACAGAGCGTACGTTAAGTGGACGACACGCATGCTTTTGGGCGTCACAAACCAGAACTAATCGAATTGCAGGGTTCGATCCCCGGGGACTGATCTCTCGACTGCTAAGTATTCACACGTAACTCTACCTAACGCCTCCAGGCTGGTGCTGTACACACACATCATTATAGAGGAGATTGCAGCACCACACAGGGAGTGAACAACGATGGACTGTATTTCAATATAATCTATAAATGTATTTGGTCAGAGGACCAGTCTGGTTATACAGATCTCTCAATTCAGCATCCCAAGAAAGGTGTCATTGACCCCAAATTTGTATCATAGGGGAGGAACCAAAAAATATATACACAAAAAACCGTTGTATCATAGGGGATGAACCAAACAATAGATACACAATAAACCGTTGTATCATAGGGGATGAACCAAACAATAGATACACAATAAACCGTTGTATCATAGGGGATGAATCAAACAATATATACACAATAAACCGTTGTATTATAGGGGATGAACCAAACAATAGATACACAATAAACCGTTGGTGACAAAACCAGGAGAAGGCAAAACTACTACTACTACTACTACTACTACTACTACTACTACTACTTCTGCTACTGCTACTACTGCTACTACTACTACTACTACTGCTACTACTACTACTACAACCTACTACTACTGCTGCTACTGCTTCTACTGCTGCTACTACTACTACTACTACTGCTACTACTACTACTACTGCTACTATTGCTACTACTACTACTACCACTACTGCTACTACTGCTACTACTACTACTGCTACTACTACTGCTACTGCTACTACTACTACTGCTACTACTACTCCTACTACTATTTCTACTACTACTACTACTACTGCTACTACTGCTACTACTACTACGTCTACTGCTGCTGCTGCTCCTCCTACTACTACTGCTACTACTACTACTACTGCTACTACTACTACTACTACTGCTGCTACTACTACTGCTACTACTACTACTACTAGACATTAATCTGGTAAAGCAGTCTATTGATTACCAAGTACAAGAAAATCCAATTTCAAAAGGCTTTCAAGAACAAGCTGTAGATGACTGAGGGGTAATAGTATTTTTACTTCCCTTTTCAGTCATAAAGACAAATAACACAACGCACAATTACAAAATGCCTTCCAGTGACGCCCACTACTGCTGAGAACGAACAATGTCAATTCACTTAGGAACGCGCGATAATTCTGTTCATCAGTCAAGTCCAGGAGAGCTGTCTCGGCTGCCACGGGGTATTCACTGACTGACCAGGCGGACCTCACCGGACTTCGAGTCAGGGTTTTGCTGATGAAGTATATGAATACATAATATACTCACCGCCAAAAGAAACGCGAAGCATAGAAACATATAGGGAAGTTATGACAAAACTAACAATCAGTCAAGTGTTACCACAGAGTGTCTTAATTTTTATCACGATATGCGGCAGGTGATTTCCAAACTTTACACACGAGACAAATGGTGCACTCGAGTCGTGGGTCTATGACGTCACATGTGATGCGTTCATGAGCGTCGGTTCACACAACATACCGGTATGTTCGTTTGTTCATCGAACCAATCTAATATCTCTTGAATATGAGTAATACACATATTAACCAACATGTATGGTATTCGCTTTTCTTTTGTCGGTGAGTATATATGTATATACTTTAGGAAAATTTGAAACCAATCAGTGAAGTATCATATTCGGCCAATCACTTCCTGGAGAAGTTGTTCCATTGTTTGTTTAGCGGTCTGTAAATACTCGAATATTGACCAGCAAATCTAGTGGTTGACATCATGAGCATCGATTTCTGTCAGGTCACCGAGCCTGACCACCCGATCCATGTAATCGCCTCTTGCAAGATGCAAAGAATACTGGGGACCTATGTTCTTACCTGGAAACCACACGGGTGGGATTGTTCCATTTAATTGTTCTCTTGACTGACCACAAACTGTGTATTCCTTAACAATGACTTTCAAACTACGAAGTAGAAATACAATTTGGGATGAGAAACTCTTTAAATGGCACTACCTGGATCGCTGTGACTGTGACATGTATAACAAAAATAATACAGGAAGATAATTATATAAATGTATAACTTAGTTGCCCCTTCAAATGACTATCCATCGGATAGAAGATTCACATACTGCCCAACACGCTGTGCAATGATAAACATCCGGCATGCTCCATAGACAGGAAACCAATATGTAGAACCCATACTTTGAAAAGAAATGTAGGGAGTGTTGTATTGACACTGGAAATTCATAACGTCACTGTCAGAGAGTAATGAATCTCGATTATCTGCCGGCAAAATATTGATGAAAATGAAATGAATGGATCACTGAAAATCAGTGATGACACCCTCGGTGCCGTTGTACAAAGTGAACTTAGCGGTGAGGTGATCGTAACTCCCATACCTTAACACAGACTTACGACAGTCGTAGCGATAAGGTTGTTTTGTACAACGGCACCCAGGTGTTCCTTATGCTTCAAGGCGTTCACAGCAAGCCTCGGGTAAGGCGACTTGAAGGCTGGTGATATCGAAACTTGCTTAAGTCCTGAAATAACTAAATAAATAGTTTGGTTGGACGGCTATTCGTGGTATCATTTCAACAGCAGTCAACACGAAGTTATGGTGTCGAATACATCCAGGGTATATATCATAATAAAATGTAGATATTATACACTAGATAAACGAGGATGTGAATATCAGGGGAACGGATGGCCCAATGGTCGAAGACGTCGCAAGAAGCTGAGCAGAGTTGCGTCCCTTAGTCGAGCCAGAATCCCGTGGTGATAGTTCGATTCCCTGATTAGACATGGTTATGATTATTGGATTGTCACCTTCAAAAGCCAAAGCTGTAAACGTCTAGTACCTGCATCACTTTGGCCTTTTGCCCAACTTTAATAACCAACCGTAATAAACCTGAAATGGTTAGAGTTAAAATGAGACCAGTGTTAACCCAACACACTCAGTGACTAAATACCCCATCATTGTTGTCCTCAAGGGGGCACCGTTGATGCACTCTTTTCAATCCAGACGCCAGTTAAACAGAAGTTAGGGTTTTCGAACTGCATTTATTCATTCCCAAGTTAAAAGAAATATCATTTTGTTGCCAAAATGCATCCAAAAATATCTTTTCGCGCTTACATACCTGGGCAGTATAAGGAGACAACCGAACTCTTGGCGAACACAAAGCTTACGCATACATCCCGATGTCGTTTTGTCAACATTGTTGTCGTCGCCGTGTTGTACCTGGTGATCCTTGTCAACGATATAATCTGCCTTACAGTTCACAAGACAGGGATCGAGGAAAAGGCTGTACTTGTACAATTTGTTTCTGACATGAGAAAGGCAACTATTCCAAGATTGCATTATCTGGAACGCAACGAAATCGTTCAGCAAACAGCAATATTTGAAGTTGTTTGTGACATAAAAATGTTAGGCATATTTGTGATTCTGTCTAATTTTTCAAACTGTTCGCTTTGCCAAAACAACATGAGATAAACTATTATTATTTCACGTTTTATTATGTAATGATCTATTATTTATTACTATTTTCACATATGATAAATTTTGATGAATATTATAAGTTGTCAACCGATCTCGAGGGGTATATGGTGTGATGTACCCTGTGTGTGTGGACCTAGGCTAGACTCACACACAGTAGATCCCACCATATGCCCAGATGCCGTATGCCGATATGAATATCGATTTCTCGCCGTCACAATTGAAGTCGAAAAAGCGATGTCCTTTCTCGGCCACCATAGTTCTCCGTGATTATGTTTCTAGATTTGTCAGTATCATACCCGTGTATTGGGTTTCACCAATGTGGTGAACGTCTGACACCTGCATCACGTCGGACTCTCCTCCCACATTAAGCCGACACGCCGTGATATACATGTAGCTGGAATACTGAAGTGGCGTTAAACCAAACTCACTCACAATAGGCATATACTCTGTCTCAGGCTAACACCAGCAGGTTATTCTAACTCATTAAACATTTTACACACCACAGAGAAGATACGTGTTTTCTCAATTTAAGAAACATTAAGACCCCCAGATGAAGGCGTGCGTATCTAGTCCAGTGACTAAGGCGTTCGTTCACATTGCTGTAGACCCGAGTTCGAGTCACATCATGGTAAATGTGCAAAGCCCTGTGTTGGTATCCCACGACGTGATATTTCTGCACTACTGCTACAAACGACGTAAAGTCCCCGTCAATAAATCGCAAACGCGTCTGTAAACCTCTACATCCCGTGGAATGAAAGATCCAACAGAAAACTAAGATTGTAGGTTCGAATCCGGGTTCGCCTTGATTATGTTTCTTGGTTTTTCAGCACCATACCCGCTCGTGGGTTTCACCAAAATGGTAAACGTCTGACACCTGCATCACTTCGGTTTTTCCTCCCACATTAAGCTGACACGCCGTGATATAACTGGAATACTGTTCAAAGCGGCGTTAAACCCAACTCACTCACCCAACGCAACTACCTTTGATTCAAACCTGCATCTTAATTAATCCAGTCTTTCCGAAACAATTCAGTTGAATGATCAATCCAACTTCTAATCAATCTCTATGATTTATCATATCGCAGCAACGTTGCAATAAATCAAAAGAAAGCGAGTTCTCAATCAAACGGGAACGGCGCCGCTGCAGCCTGCCAATGAAAGATATCCAAGGCCATAGCGAGGCGGACGTTTAGCCCTTTTACATACACCCATCCTAGCTTCCCATCTGCCAAAATGGCAGTTATCTGCAGGCTTGCTCTCACAGGGATTCTTTGTCTTACCCTCATTTACCAAGGTGAGTAAAATTGGGAATAATCGGGGTATACGTGGGACAGGAGGGATTGACGGGGTAGTAAATTATTTCTTATGTACAGTTCTACCACAACCGATTCCAGTCAATTCACTTTCGTTACTTTCCACTAAGCTGCACGACCATTGCTATTGCGCATATTATTAAAAGCGATTACCACGTCAGAGTATGTGTTTAACTTTGTTATATCTTAATATTCTAGTCGTTTTATTCATCAAAAAGAATCGACCTTGAAAAATGCCGACATGCTCACGATCCTTTAAGCAGAAAGCCGGTTTGTTTACATGCCCGCTGCTTAGAGGGATGTTATTAACAGCCGCTCGTGCAGCTCGTATATCACGAGAATAGTTACTGACATGTTCGATGTACATTGCAACACATTTCACTTTCAGCATGTCGCAGGGGTATACGCTACATTGCGTACATTTCATGTGCTAATTAACACCAATCAAATCAATTACACTGTCTGCTCAGCGAGAAAATCTTTCGAGGCTGTTTGATATTGACAATTCTGATTTGCATAATATTCTATATAAATTCTCGTGCAGCGGAATTGGAATAAAGGGCGAAACAGGCATGATGGTCGGGTGATATTGACAAGCGCACATGATATAAATATAGTTACCGAATCTGGCCCGAGGCCAACTTTCTAATGGTACTACATTCACAGAATACATTGGCTGCCTGTGTTGGTGGGAAGATAGCCTTCTTTCGTGTATTACCATAGATGATAATGATTGATGAATAATCGAAAACCGTAGAGACTTTGTTTAAAACCTAATTGAATTAGCTTCTAGAACGTTTTTAGAACCTGTAATTAATTAATTCTGCAGTTTCTGATATTGGTGTTGTTAGCAATATATATGAGTTAAGAATCGCGATTTACATAATAAGACAGATTACGTTTTAAAGGAAGAGAGATCGATGAAACAACCGAAACATGAAATAATTACCCATAAAATCATGCATCAGAATGATGTAAATAGATTGTAATTTGGTAAACGTTTCATTTCCAGGAATGTAGCTTTTAGCGGTTCACTTCACAGATCCAATGCTGTAATAACGGACGTGCTTGCGTGCTTTAAATGTTCACGTCATAATAGACATGATTTGATAACTGGAAATTCTGGGCCGAAAAGTAGAACAATTTCCGGATCCTAATATAGCGGAACAATGATCACTCAGATATTGACCCATCGACTGCCGTGATAACACTTAATAGTGCCTAAGAAGATAAATCGCTGTATTCCATCTTGTGAACGAGCAGATGCTGCTTATCTAACGACCGTGCGTGCACAAGCGCTGATCGGGGAAGCTGCGGAATGGCGGAACGCATCAATTACCAGCTTGAAGCAGACATTTAATAAGTATTTTGTCGATTGACAAAATCATACGGTGTTTGTCTTATGGAATGGCCGTCCTCTGTTCTGAAGGTCAGATGGGGGCACGCTGGTTAACCGGGTCTAAGCTGTATCAACAAATCGAACGCGCCACGCGGTACGAAAACTATGGGAGATAATGACGGCCATCTGGTCTATTCATGCCCGACAATACACCAGTTATCCCCCGTATATATATATATTTACATACACTTCGCGCAAGTGATTAGAGAAGGCTAATTTCGTCAGTGTTGGCAAGTTGAATACTAAAGATATGTGTATATACCTTATAAGTAAAAGTGTCAGCCGCACCTAGGTTCGAATAGCTTCACTGCATCGCCTCTCTATCGTTACATGATGAATTATAATGGTTACGCCGTAGCCAAACAAACACACGTCTCTTAAAATCAAGGTTAATTAATAAATCACCACGGAGAAAGGAATTCGCTAACTGACTACAAGCTTACGTACTGTGGAGTAGTTTGGGTTTGACTTGTTGAATTGCAAGTAGAGATATGCCACTGAAAAGGTCTACCTCGTCTGGGTCAACGTATTATGTGGGCCAAGCCATGGCGTGCTCTAATCAATGGTACGTGCATCACGCAGGCAACGAAGCTCCCCCACACACCCCCACACCCCCACACACCCCAACACACAAACACGAAGGCAACGAAGCCCCCCCCCCCCCCCCCCCCAACACTCAAACACTTCTTCCGTCTTCTGGGCCAGGGTAATTCAGTGGAAGATGTCTTGAAAAGTGAATAATGCTGAAATAGTTGACCACAGTCTTAATCACAGATGTCGATAATCGTCCACCCAATGCAACATGGCCGCTATCTAAGCAGCCTAGGATAACACATTTATCAAGAAACACTTGTATAGTGGGTGAAGGGTGAGTGTTCTAAAACGCAAAACTAATATTTATCTGACACACGTGAAACGGGTTTCCTCTCGAAATTGACCACCCACTGTGTTTATTCTCGTGGAAACGACGCGAGGAACATTTTGACGTATGAACTTACATTTTAACTAGAACATCCTCAGTGTGGAACTACAGGCAATGTTCTTCACATGTCTGAAGCTTTCCATCGTTCGAATCCCGGATCGTCCCGATTATGTTTCTAGGTTTGTCAGCACCATACCCATGCTGTTTAGTTTCACCAAAGTGGGGACTGTGTATAATACCTGCATCGTTTCGGGGGTTCCTCCCACATTAAGCAGACACGCCGTGATATAACTGAAAAAGTGAGCAAACAAATTCATTCACTCACTCATTATATACTCAACCGGGATCGAACCCCATACTTTCCGCTCTCCGGGCAGACGCTCTACCACAAGACCACGGAGGCCGTCTCAATGTAGTTGGGCCATGAACCCTTAAGGTTCTACATGACCTACAGAGACTGTGTTAGATTGATAATAACTCATTTTCAATTTGTACTCATACCAGCATAAGGAGGGCATTCTAGCATTTTAAGTGTTTTGCATCCAATTGCTGATTATCAAAACCAGTCCTGTTGATGTTTCTGTTCTTGAATTCAAATGGCATTCTATGGATGCCCGCGCAATAAATCACTAGTTTGTCTGGCCTATACTCGATTATATTGAGGCCACCTGGTTTGTCTGGCCTATGCTCGATTATATTGAGGCCATCTGGTTTGTCTGGCCTATACTCGATTATATTGAGGCCACCTGGTTTGTCTGGCCTATACTCGATTATATTGAGACCACCTGGTTTGTCTGGCCTATACTCGATTATATTGAGGCCACCTGGTTTGTCTGGCCTATACTCGATTATATTGAGGCCACCTGGTTTGTCTGGCCTATACTCGATTATATTGAGGCCACCTGGTTTGTCTGGCCTATACTCGATTATATTGAGGCCACCTGGTTTGTCTGGCCTATGCTCGATTATATTGAGGCCACCTGGTTTGTCTGGCCTATGCTCGATTATATTGAGGCCACCTGGTTTGTCTGGCCTATACTCGATTATATTGAGGCCACCTGGTTTGTCTGGCCTATACTCGATTATATTGAGGCCACCTGGTTTGTCTGGCCTATACTCGATTACTTTGTTGCCGCCGTGATTTAACTGTCACTAACTCACTGCGGAAAACGGTATTATTAACGGTGATAACTTGTGGCTCCACGGTCATACTTACATTGACATTATGGGAGGTTCACACACAGGACCACGACTTCTGAGTTCTCGCGCTAAGGCCTGGGACAAGGACAGCAACCCACTGGGGGTGCGACGAGACCGAGCGTGATTGTAGGACGCCTCGTGTAGATACGACAGATGATGTCGATGATTGTACATTTAAAAATAGAACATTTGTTTTCTGGAATGTATCAGGACTTAATTCTAAATTAACTGATCAGGACTTTACCGATTATTTAAACTCATTTGACTTCATCGGCATAACAGAAACATGGATGAAAGATATAGACATAAGTTTGATATTTCCAGGATTCAAGCTATGGATCAAAGAAGCTGAAAAGATTTCCAACTTTGGTAGACTTTCTGGTGGTATTGCCATATTAGTTAGACAGCAACTTGTTAAATATGTAAAATGGTCTAAAGTTTGCGACAGTGGCATTTTCATGCTGTTAGATAAAACCGTATTTGGATTTAAAAAAAGATTTGCTATATTCATGTGTCTATGTTCACCCTGAATGTTCGACTTGGTACACCAACCCTTTGAGGCAATGCAAAAATGGTATACAAATATTACAAAATGACTTACTTGATACACTAGCACATTGTGATGATGTTTATTTGATGATTGGGGGAGACTTGAATGCCAGAACTAGCACGGAATCTGATTTTGTAGAAGATGATATTCTTGAATATCTCGAGGGTCATGATAACAGTGTATGGGGATTTCTGTTAGACAATTTCAGCTTAAAAAGATTTTCTGTGGATTTATCTTTGAATAATTTTGGTAAGAGCCTACTAGATTTATGCAGTATACTAAATATACATATTATGAATGGAAGGTGCGGGTCAGACGCCGGGGTGGGAGATTTCCCTTTCATAGGAAATCAGGGTGCGAGTGTGGTGGATTATGTTATTGCCTCGTCCGAGTTGTTTGATATGTGCCATAGCTTTGACATTCCGTCTCGAGCCGAGTCAACTAATCGTGACAGGAAGGTGTGATGAGTGAGTGAGTGTGGTTTTACGCCGCTTTTAGCAATATTCCAGCAAAAATACCGCCGTGATATTGCTGGAATATTGCTAAAAGCGGCGTAAAACCACACTCACTCATCACACCTTCCTGTCACGATTAGTTTACGTCCGCTTCTAGTAAATGACCCTATGCCACGCAATACACGTAACAATGCTTCCTTCAAATTTGTGTGGGTTGAAGAGAAGGCTGAACAGTTTAGAATAAACCTTATTTCTGGGACTGCGAATGATTTACTGGAGAAGGCTGTAGATGTAGCATTTGTTAATGTTGAAGAAAGTATTGGGTATATCACTGAAGCTGTTATTATTGCTGCATCAGATATGAAGAAAATGAATAAGGACTGTAAATATGATCAACAATGGTTTGATAGCGAATGCCAGCTACTTAAAAAGGAGCGATGTAGACGTTTAAATAATTTTAGAAAGAATAAGGATAGAGGATCACTAACCGACTATAATAGAGTAAGAAATCAGTACAACGATGTTTGTAGGAAAAAAAAGACAGGATATTTCGAACAAAAACAGAAACTGTTGGAATCAAGCATAGATAATTCTAAAACATTTTGGTCATCGCTAAAAGCCATTAAACCAAATAGATATTGCAAAAATGATATTGATATTCAAGCCTGGTTTGAGCATTTCCAGGAACTGTTTTCAGTTCCATTTAGCCATGACAATAACAATTTATTTGACATGGAATTCATGGAAGATAAAGTTGACAGTGTAACAGATGATATTCTTGAATGTCCAATATCTAGAGAGGAAATTATTGACAGCATATCCAACCTTAAAGATAATAAGGCATCTGGAAATGATAATGTGATAGCAGAGTATTTTAAACATTCCTCAGACATTTTAATACCATATTTGGAACTAATTTTTAATATCCTTTTAGAGAGATCATATTTTCCAGATAATTGGACAGTTGGCATTATTGTCCCTCTTCACAAACAGGGCGCAACCAGCGATGTTAATAATTACAGAGGCATAACTCTCCTAAGTACATTCAGTAAAATATTTACTTCAATTATTAACAAGAGTTTTCTGGGCGGATTCTTTGGATAAGATAAGTGAGTCACAAGCAGGTTTTAGAAAAGGATACTCCACCACTGACAATGCTTTTATCCTATATTCTATAATTCAGAGATATCTATCAGTGAAACGAGGGAAGCTATATGCTGTATTCGTAGATTTTGCAAAAGCTTTTGACTCTGTGAAAAGGGATAACTTGTGGTCACACTTTCAAAGACATGGGCTAAGTAGCAAAATTGGAAAGTTATTATGCTCTCTATATAAAAATGTGAAGGTATGTGTACGGAATAATGGCGCTATATCGGATACTTTTGTAAGTAGCAGGGGTGTCCGACAAGGGTGTATATTAAGTCCCTTCTTATTTTCCTTTTTCATAAATGATTTGGCATATCAAATCCAAAAAAATTGCACTGATGGAATACAACTGCACCCCGAAACTATTAAATTATTTCTGCTTCTTTTCGCTGACGATATAGTCATGTTCTCGAGCACAATACCTGGCCTGCAAAAGCAAATACATGTATTAGAGAGTTATTGTGACGAGTCAAAACTTACTGTAAATATGGATAAAACCAAAGTTGTAGTTTTTAAAAATGGTGGTAACATATCCAGAAAAGAAAATTGGTTTTACAGAAGGAAGCCTGTAGAAGTTGTTCCATTTTATAAATACTTAGGCTTGTGTTTTACAAGTAGATTAACTTGGTCAAGGAATGCACATAACATTTCATTGCAAGCCAAGAAAAATTTTGTAGGCATATTAAAAAGTCTTAGAGTTCTGGACAATGTTACATATGATGTTTATTTTAAAATATTTGATACAAAAATAAGCCCGATGCTATTGTATGGATCCGAAGTTTGGGGCCTAGAACATTTGGATGTTATTGAGAAAATACATTTATATGCATGTAAACGGTTCTTGGGGGTAAAATCTAGCACAGAAAACGCAAGGGTATATGGTGAATGCGGACGGTTTCCCATGTATATCAATAGTTATTTAAAGGTTATTAAATACTGGGTCAAGCTATTAAATATGCCATCTTCAAGATACCCGAAAAAATGTTATAATATGATGCTTCTCTACGACAGCCATGGGAAACAAAATTGGGCATCAAAAGTTAAAAACATGTTATACGAATGTGGATATGGTTATATTTGGTTACAGCAACATGTAGATATGCCACAACATTTCTTCTCCCGTTTGACACAGACTTTAAAAGATGTGTACATTCAAAAATGGCATTGTTCTTTGTTTAGTTCTAGAAAAGCAAACTATTACACTACATTTAAGACTACTATTATACTAGAACCTTATCTATTAAGTGTAAATTTACATAAGTTTAGAACAGCTCTTTCTCGATTCCGTTGTGGCTCACATGATCTATTTATTGAAACAGGCAGATATGAAGGTATTGCAAGAGAACACAGACTTTGTAGGATTTGTAAAACTGATTGTACTGAAGATGAATATCACTTTTTATGTGTATGTCCAGTGTATGAAGATTTAAGAACAAAATATCTAAATAACTATTTCTACCGCAACCCAAACGGTAACAAATTCTGTAAATTAATGACTTGTGATTGTACAGAAACTATTAGAAATCTATCAATGTTCATTTATCATGCCATGAAACTAAGAAAATGTATGAATTTGTAACACGCCCCACACATTGTACTATAGGCCTTTGGCCTCATAAGTACCATGAATAAAGATTGATTGATTGACATTATGTATTCAATCTCATCTCAAAATCAAATCTTTTACTCTGACTCGGCACTTCCCCCCGTCACGTTTTTGACAAACCGCTCATTCTCATAGGTCACGTCAGGTAGAGGCTTCTATTTCTCAGCACCAACAATTTTCAAGCGATGCATTCAGAACAACATATGATTTCTGCGTCTAGAAAACGAACATAAACGGACAGTTTAAATGGAGAATTAAAAAAGCCGCGAAATATTATATTTTACACGTTGTAATGGCAGTTACGTCCAAAAGGGGGCAGTGTCTAAAGAAAATAAGTGGTTTTTTTCATTTCCGAATCGGGGTCAAAGATGGTAAAGAAATTAAGCCGAACCGCTTTTAGAAGCTGATATTTGATTGGTTTATGAATCTATATATGGTTCATTTTGATTCAGCCTGGTTCCCCTGGGTATGCTGCGCTGGCGCAACACTGACCCAGGCAATGACTGCACAATGCCCGTCTCTACTAGACGAACAAACATGGCGTCTATTTACTATAGAAAAACGCTAGAACGGGTGGTTTTATTTTTTTCTTACCATTTTCATGAATGCTCTTGCAATGTATACGTCCCGAGAATAACGACCACTGTTACTTTTAGTGATGATGAAATGTATCATAAATAGATCCAGTAATTTTGGAAACATAATTGATTAATTTCAATCTAGTGTTTCTGAACTATGTGTGAGCATGTAAAAATGTCGAATCTGAATGGGATAATAATAAAGAATATGTTCATAATTTTGAATTAATTTGGTACAGTGGCATACACATCCATGTGTATTCTCTTTTTCACGGGATGAAACAAAAATGTACCAATAGTCATGGTGTGGCATGTTATGATTATACATATTATCTATTATCAAAATTCAAATAATGCATTCTAAGGAACAAACATGCAAGTAACAAATAACCATAACTTTCAAGCAAATTAAAAATAATTGTAATTTAAGATGATTCTACTGACCAATCTACATTAACAAAGGGTTTTCAACAATCAGACATCTGAGAATATTCTTTCTTGTTTTTTTCACAACAAATTGAACAATCTAAAAACATGCAAAGCTGATGAACATGATGTCCTGAATAAAAGAAAAACTAAAATTAACATAATCAGTTTTGGAACATGTTAGTATGTAAATTACAATGAAAGATTGAAAATGGAAGCAGTACTGTTAACACATAAGAGTGTGACGCAAACAGATTCAAATGCATCATTTTATCCACTGGCTGAATAAATGATGACATCATATTGCATTATTACTTTTGTCAGATCTACATGCGTATCATGCTCTAAATGATGTCAGTATATGCTTTGATACTGGCTTTAAGCCCCCAAAATTCAAGACAGGTTACATTGGTACCGGGTAATCATCACCCTTTAGAGGTCACAAATAAATAGTGGAAAATACACGTGTCTCCAGCTTTCATCCTCAAATCTTACATTTTCTGTGCACTTTTAATGTTATGTATTACCATCATCATCATATTGGTTTTCTTTTCCAATGCTTGAGCAATAATGTAACTTAATTCCTTTTATTGTGTTGTTTATTTGTAGATAATTTCGTACACAGATATTTCATCTAACATGATGATTATAATCATAACTTTTTTTCAATAATAATAATGGTATGCACACCTCTTCATGTTGTTCTGAACACGATTCCCCAGTGGCTACAGTGCATCATATAGAATACACATGGATGTGTATGCCACTGTACCAAATTAATTCAAAATTATGAACATATTCTTTATTATTATCCCATTCAGACTCGACATTTTTACATGCTCACACATAGTTCAGAAACACTAGATTGAAATTAATCAATTATGTTTCCAAAATTACCAGATCTATTTATAATTAATTTCATTGTGTAATAAGAAAACAAACATGACTTTTCATGTGAATATCCAAAGGCAAAATGTCATATACATTGCAAGAGCATTCATGAAAATGCTAAGAAACAATTATAACCACCCGTTCTAGTGTTTTTCTGTGGTAAATACATGTCGTATCCGCCATGTTTGTTCGTTTTGTGGAGGCGGCCATTGTGCAGTCATCGCCTTGGTCAATGTAGCGCCAGCGCAGCATACACAGGGAACCAGGCTGCATTTTGATTGAACTGTCAATGTTCCCTCAACGTTCGCCCGAAGTGACTTCCTGTAGTGGGTTTGTCAGATCTTGACGGTAAGTGGTATCGAATCGGTGTAATTGCTCTTACTTCAGAGACTTTGGGTGTACATTGTATGCGTTTAAAAGATGTTCTCATAATAATATTATGTTTCAGTTTCTTGCGTCTGTCGGTCCTGTCCGTATAAAACACCGGATGAGAAATGCAAAGACAAATATCAGCCCAAGAACGAGCTTACAGCTTGCGTACCCAGTGCTGAAACAAGTGAGTCAATTAAATACTCGTACAAGACTTGTGGGAGGGGGAACACGACTTGCGGAAGGGGGATTCAAGGTTTCCGAAAGGTTCTGTCCCCTTATATTCACATGTAGCAATCCCTTGACTAGTAGTCCCCTGACAGGTGGCCCCTTACAAGCAGGTAGCCCATTTACTCATTACCCCTTACTGGCGGTCCATTTACTTGGATCCCCTTTACTCGTAGACCCCCACTTACTGGTGGTTCTTTACTGGTCGACCTCGTATTGGTAGCCCTCTTATTGATGCCTCCTCACTGCATGGTAGTCCTCTTATTGATGCCTCCTCACAGGTAGCCCTCTTATTGATGCCTCCTCATATGTAATCCTATTATTGATGCCCCCTCACAGGTAGCCCTATTATTAATGCCTCCTCACAGGAAGCCCTATTATTGATGCCTTCTCACTGCACGGTAGTCCTAGTTGGTTTACCCTCACTGGTGGCCCCCTTATTGATGCTTCCGTACAGGAAGCTCTCTTATTGGTGGCTCCTCAAAGATGGCACTATTATTGATGCCTCCTAACAGGTAATCCTATTATTGATGCCTCCTCACAGGTAGCCCTTTTATTCATGCCCCCTCACAGGTAATCCTATTATTGATGCCCCCTCACAGGTAACCCTATTATTGATGCCTCCTAACAGGTAATCCTATTATTGATGCCTCCTCACAGGTAGCCCTTTTATTCATGCCCCCTCACAGGTAACCCTCTTATTGATGCCTCATCACAGGTAACCCTCTTATTAATGCCCCCTCAAAGGTAACCCTATTATTGATGCCCCTCACAGGTAATCCTATTATTGATGCCCCCTCACAGATAACCCTATTATTGATGCCCCCTCACAGTTTACCCTCTTATTGATGCCTCCTAACAGGTAACCCTATTATTGATGCATCCTCACGGGTAATCCTATTATTGATGCCTCCTAACAGGTAACCCTATTATTGATGCATCCTCACGGGTAATCCTATTATTGATGCCCCCTCACAGATAACCCTATTATTGATGCCCCCTCACAGTTTACCCTCTTATTGATGCCTCCTAACAGGTAACCCTATTATTGATGCATCCTCACGGGTAATCTTATTATTGATGCCCCCTCACAGATAACCCTATTATTGATGCCCCCTCACAGTTTACCCTCTTATTGATGCCTCCTCACGGGTAACCCTATTATTGATGCCTCCTCACAGGTAGTCCTCTTATTGATGCCTCCTCACAGGTAGCCCTTTTATTGATGCCCCCATCACAGGTAGCCCTATTATTGATGCCTCCTCACAGGTAACCCTTTTATTGATGCCTCCTCACAGGTAACCCTTTTATTGATGCCCCCCTCATAGGTAGCCCTATTATTGATGCCTCCTCACAGGTAGCTCTATTATTGATGCCCCCCTCACAGGTAGCCCTATTATTGATGCCTCCTCACAGGTAACCCTTTTATTGATGCCCCCATCACAGGTAGCCCTATTATTGATGCCTCCTCACAGGTAACCCTTTTATTGATGCCCCCATCACAGATAACCCTATTATTGATGCATCCTCACAGGTAGCCCTTTTATTAATGCCTCCTCACAGGTAACCCTATTATTGATGCCTCCTCACAGGTAATGCTATTATTGATGCCCCTCACATGTAGCCCTATTATTGATGGGCGTTAAACCCAACTCACTCACTCACTATTATTGATGCCTCCTCACAGGTAGCCCTATTATTGATGCCCCCCTCACAGGTAGCCCTATTATTAATGCCTCCTCACAGGTAACCCTATTATTGATGCCTCCTCATAGGTAGCCCTCTTATTGATGCCTCCTCACAGATAGCACTATTATTGATGCCTTCTCACAGGTAATCCTATTATTGATGCCTCCTCACAGGTAATCCTATTATTGATGCCCCCTCACAGGTAGCCCTCTTATTGATGCCTCCTCCGGGGTAGCCCTATTATAGATGCCTCCGTATAGGTAGCCCTATTATTGATGTCTCCATACAGGTAGCCCTATTATTGATGCCCCCTCACAGGTAACCCTCTTATTGATGCCTCCTCACAGGTAACCCTATTATTGATGCCCCCTCACAGGTAACCCTATTATTGATGCCCCCATCACAGGTAACCCTATTATTGAACGTCCTCACAGGTAGCCCTGTTATTGATGCCTTCTCACAGGTAACCCTATTATTAATGCCCCCCTCACAGGTAGCCCTATTATTAATGCCTCCTCACAGGTAGCCCTATTATTGATGCCTCCTCACAGGTAATCCTATTATTGATGCCTCCTCACAGGTAATCCTATTATTGATGCCCCTCACAGGTAATGCTATTATTGATGCCCCTCACAGGTAGCTCTTTTATTGATGCCTCCTCACAGGTAGCCCTATTATTGATGCCTCCTCACAGGTAGCTCTATTATTGATGCCTCTTCACAGGTAATGCTATTATTGATGCCTCCTCACAGGTAATCCTATTATTGATGCCCCTCACAGGTAACCCTATTATTGATGCCTCCTCACAGGTAGCTCTATTATTGATGCCCCCCTCACAGGTAGCCCTGTTATTGATGCCTCCTCATAGGTAGCCCTTTTATTGATGCCTCCTCACAGGTAACCCTATTATTGATGCCTCCTCACAGGTAGCTCTATTATTGATGCCCCCCTCACAGGTAGCCCTGTTATTGATGCCTCCTCATAGGTAGCCCTATTATTGATGCCCCTCATAGGTAGCCCTATTTTTGATGCCTCCTCACAGGTAGCTCTATTATTGATGCCCCCCTCACAGGTAGCCCTGTTATTGATGCCTCCTCATAGGTAGCCCTGTTATTGATGCCTCCTCATAGGTAGCCCTATTATTGATGCCTCCTCACAGGTAGCTCTATTATTGATGCCCCCCTCACAGGTAGCCCTGTTATTGATGCCTCCTCATAGGTAGCCCTATTATTGATGCCTCCTCACAGGTAGCTCTATTATTGATGCCTCCTCACAGGTAACCCTATTATTGATGCCTCCTCACAGGTAGCTCTATTATTGATGCCCCCCCTCACAGGTAGCCCTGTTATTGATGCCTCCTCATAGGTAGCCCTATTATTGATGCCTCCTCACAGGTAACCCTGTTATTGATGCCTTCTCACTGCACGGTAGTCCTCTGATTGGTTTACCCTCACTGGTGGCCCCCTTATTGATGCCTCCGTACAGGTAGCTCTCTTATTTGTGGCTCCTCGTTGGTAGCCCTCTAATTGGTGTCTCTTGCTGGTAGCCCTCTTATTGGCAGCCCCTCATTGGTAGCCCTCTTATTGGCAGCCTCTCATTGGTAGCCCTCTCACTGGTGGCTCTTCACAGGTTGCCCTCTTATTGGCAGCCCCTCATTGGTAGCCCTCTTATTGGCAGCCTCTCATTGGTAGCCCTCTTATTGGCAGCCTCTCATTGGTAGCCCTCTCACTGGTGGCTCTTCACAGGTTGCTCTCTTATTGGCAGCCCCTCATTGGTAGCCCTCTTATTGGCAACCTCTCACTGGTAGCCCTCTTATTGGCAGCCTCTCATTGGTAGCCCTCTTATTGGCAGCCTCTCATTGGTAGCCCTCTCACTGGTGGCTCTTCACAGGTTGCCCTCTTATTGGCAGCCTCTCTTTGGTAGCCTGTTGTTGATGGCTCCTTACTGGTAGCCCTTGTATTGGTAGCTCCTCACAGATAACCCTCTTATTGGTGGCTCCTCACCGCTCGGTAGTCCTCTTATTGGTAGCCCTCTTACTGGTAGTCTCTTTACTGTGGCTCCTTACTATTCCTGCTGGCCCTGTACTGGCATTCCCCTTATTGTGGCCCCTCACTGGTAGTCCATGTCTGGTAGTCTCCTTGCTGGTAGGCCCTGTACTGGCATTCCCCTTATTGTGGCCCCTCATTGGTAGTCCATGTCTGGTAGTCTCCTTGCTGGTAGGCCCTGTACTGGCATTCCCCTTATTGTGACCCCTCATTGGTAGTCCATGTCTGGTAGTCTCCTTGCTGGTAGGCCCTATACTGGCATTCCCCTTATTATGGCCCCTCATTGGTAGTCCATGTCTGGTAGTCTCCTTGCTGGTAGGCCCTGTTCTGGCATTCCCCTTATTGTGACCCCTCACTGGTAGTCCATGTCTGGTAGTCTCCTTGCTGGTAGGCCCTGTTCTGGCATTCCCCTTATTGTGGCCCCTCACTGGTAGTCCATGTCTGGTAGTCTCCTTGCTGGTAGGCCCTGTTCTGGCATTCCCCTTATTGTGACCCCTCACTGGTAGTCCATTTCTGGTAGTCTCCTTGCTGGTAGGCCCTGTTCTGGCATTCCCCTTATTGTGACCCCTCACTGGTAGTCCATGTCTGGTAGTCTCCTTGCTGGTAGGCCCTGTTCTGGCATTCCCCTTATTGTGACCCCTCACTGGTAGTCCATTTCTGGTAGTCTCCTTGCTAGTAGGCCCTGTTCTGGCATTCCCCTTATTGTGACCCCTCACTGGTAGTCCATGTCTGGTAGTCTCCTTGGTGGTAGGCCCTGTTCTGGCATTCCCCTTATTGTGGCCCCTCACTGGTAGTCCATGTCTGGTAGTCTCCTTGCTGGTAGGCCCTGTTCTGGCATTCCCCTTATTGTGACCCCTCACTGGTAGTCCATGTCTGGTAGTCTCCTTGCTGGTAGGCCCTGTTCTGGCATTCCCCTTATTGTGACCCCTCACTGGTAGTCCATTTCTGGTAGTCTCCTTGCTGGTAGGCCCTGTTCTGGCATTCCCCTTATTGTGGCCCCTCACTGGTAGTCCATGTCTGGTAGTCTCCTTGCTGGTAGGCCCTGTTCTGGCATTCCCCTTATTGTGGCCCCTCATTGGTCGTCCATGTCTGGTAGTCTCCTTGCTGGTAGGCCCTGTTCTGGCATTCCCCTTATTGTGGCCCCTCACTGGTAGTCCATGTCTGGTAGTCTCCTTGCTGGTAGGCCCTGTTCTGGCATTCCATTATTGGGGGCCTCTTACAGGTGTCCCTTTACATAATTATGGGACCCCTTGTTCAAAAACATCTTGTTTTCTTTGTAGATAAAAAGATGTGCTCCAACTACAAGGGGGGATGGAAGGCCATCTGCAAAGTGGGAGTATCAACGTTCCAGTGCAAAACGTTATGTCCACAAAACTCGGCCGCGAACCTGAACTGTGACGTCATCACCATGGTCGCTGTCGTTTTTTTCTCCATCTTGCATCGTTTGTTTCATTAATGATATCAAACACTGATATGTATGGTACTGTTTACATTTTAAATGAAAGAGTAGAACATTATGACAAATTCCACGACATAAGAATTTCTTCTCAGGAGTAGGGACGTCTCGACATATTTAACTCACATTATAAATCTCGATACATAGATTATCGATATGATCGAAACATAATCGGAACCTGGATTCAGTATTAGAGCATCATCCATGTGCACAAGTGTAAATTCAACATCTTCGAAACTGGTACACATAAAATCAAACAGATTTATCACATCGTTACAAGAAAAGAATAGTCGCATATCGTGGCATATCGATGCATCGATGCGATTAATCGTGATAGCCTTAGATGAAAGCGTTGTATATATTTCTTAGAAGGGAATACTGAAATTTATTTTCACTGGGAAAATAAAAGTATATCTCAAATAAATTATAGTTAAAATACTAAAGACACTTATATGGTTAAAAACACTATATAGCTCGAAGACAGATTATATAAGTTAAGGTCAAATCGGTGAAGTCCTGTACATAACATATACCACTGTCCAGTGTCATTGTCTCGTTCTATTCCATGTTATTGCTATTTAAAGAGAGACAAGGTTGGGCCAGTAAGCAGTCTTGCAAGTGTGATTCAAGTCCCTCAAACCCCACCTGGTCTGCTCAAATCCTATAATGTAATACAACTTTGCAGTTCATAATTTCTCAAATTACACAGACTATGGCGCAATTTCACACGTGTAATAAATAACACAGATTTTGGTACACTGTCTTTTTTCCAGATAGCAGTTATAGTATGAATGTGTGCTTTATACAGAGAATACAGTGATTTATTGATAGTTAATGTAATGCGAAAAAACTGTCCAAAAATGTTCTGATTTTCTTTGCGGAACATGAAACGCCTCTGGTTGTATGCGCAAACACGACATGGCGCGATGTCTGCAAGGGAGACAACTCTCGAATTCGACTGATCAATTTGAGAACGTTTGATCATGCGGTGACAGTTCCTTTGTTGCAACTTGAAACGCCAATGATTTTATGTGCAGACACCATAGCGAGATGTAGACAAGGGAGGCAACTCCTGAAGACATTTGATCAATATGTAACATTAGATCCAGCGGTGATATTTTGTATATTTTTATGTATATAAACTAACATTTTGTATCTACATCATGCAATTAGATATTTATTATTTATAAGTGAGATGTTTTGTTCCGTAGAGGGACAAGGAGAGTGTACAACCGGATTAAATATCTGTTTCGTCAGGGTTTTACAGGATAATTTGATTTGTTTAATCGTACGATTCAATGTATGGTGTTTTTGTAATAACTTGGTACAGGGATCAGCTGATCCATATTTACATAAACGTTCGTTAGACTTTAAAAAGACTGTAACGTCTTTTTTCTTCCTGTTGAGTCTAATAACTAATTTCATTTTAACCATTTAACATATATAATTTCATTGTAAACGGGTTTTTTTTAACCCCTTCATACTAGTGAAGTTAACCTGTGACTTTTCATTCCTAAACTATACGTTTATAATTTCTAGTTATTTCACACATAATTTTGTTCAAAATCTCGTAAATCGCGTAGCTGTGCGGGCAATTGCTCGTGAGTAGGAGCGAAACGCATGGAATGCACGTGCATTTTTGTTGTAACATTAAGGTATCAAGGTTTGCAAACAGACTTGTGTGAAGAACAATAAACTGGAGTATGATTTTATCGGAAAATAATTTGTATTGGTATGTATTTCGTAGATAAAGAATAGAGGTTCGGTCTTATTAGTTCATATCCGTTGGAAGCACTTGTAAAATAGTCTATATGTCTCCATTAACCTTTGTGATATTGTGTCTTTTTGCCTCAATCACACAAGGTAATTTTTTCACACTGCAGTGAATCTGTTATACTGTATGATTGTGTCTCTTCTATGTGTGAGTATTATTCATGTACACATGTTATTTATTCATTTGCAAACATCTTTTGAAATAAACATTTTGGAAATAGGGATTTAATGTGTTTACCTGGTTGTTTTCCATTGTCAAAATGCTTTTGCAGTCAGATATTTAATATCAACTTGTTTTCAACAGAGGATTCCATTCTAAAAGAACAAGATAAGAACTGCGCTGGGATTAATTGTTTTCGGTGGCCTGTGGAGTTAATGTGTTTTATTATTAAGATAGTGTTTTACGCCGGAGCCAGCAATAGTCCAGCCCTATCACGGGAGTATTTTAATATTTGATTGTAAACCAGTCGTTGATAATGAGGAACGTCATTGGGGTACGAAGACACACAACCAGCCAAGAGGCCGAGTCGGACCTTGGGGTTTTACGACCTGTTCTACCCGGAATTCCAAGTGTGAGGGTGAGTGAGTGAGAGGGTGAGTGAGTGAGTGAGTGAGAGGGTGAGTTAGTGAGAGGTCATGTGAGTGATTGAGGGGTGAGTGAGTGAGAGGGCGTGTGAGTGAGTGAGAGGGTGAGTGAGTGAGAGGGTGAGTGAGTGAGTGAGAGGGTGTGTGAGTGAGTGAGAGGGTGTGCGAGTGAGTGAGAGGGCGTGTGAGTGAGTGAGAGGGCTTGTGATTGAGTGAGAGGGCGTGTGAGTGAGTGAGAGGGTGTGTGAGTGAGAGGGTGAGTGAGTGAGAGGGCGTTTGAGTGAGTGAGAGGGTGAGTGAGTGAGAGGGTGTGTGAGTGAGTGAGAGGGTGTGTGAGTGAATGAGATGGCGTGTGAGTGAGTGAAAGGGCTTGTGATTGAGTGAGAGGGCGTGTGAGTGAGTGAGAGGGTGTGTGAGTGAGTGAGAGGGCATGTGAGTGAGTGAGAGGGTGAGTGAGTGAGATGGCGTGTGAATGAGTGAGAGGGTGAGTGAGTGAGAGGGTGAGTGAGTGAGTGAGTGAGAGGTTGTGTAAGTGAGTGAGTGAGAGATTGAGTGAGTGAGAGGGCGTGTGGGTGAGTAAGTGAGAGGGTGAGTGAGTGGGAGGGTTTGAAGTGAGTGAGTGAGAGGATGAGTGAGTGAGAGGGCGTGTGAGTGAGTGAGAGGGTGAGAGGGTGAGTGAGTGAGAGGGCGTGTGAGTGAGTGAGTGAGAGGGTGAGTGAGTGAGAGGGCGTGTGAGTGAGTGAGAGGGCGTGTGAGTGAGTGGGAGGATGAGTGAGTGAGAGGGTGAGTGAGTGAGTGGGCGTGTGAGTGATTCAGAGGGCGTGTGAGTGAGTGAGTGAGAGGGTGAGTGAGTGAGAGGGCGTGTGGGTGAGAGGGCGTGTGAGAGGGTGAGTGAGTGAGAGGGCGTGTGGGTGAGTGAGTGAGAGGGCGTGCGAGTGAGTGAGAGGTTGTGTAAGTGAGTGAGTGAGAGGGTGAGTGAGTGGGAGAGTGTGTGAGTGAGTGAGAGGGTGGGCGAGTGAGAGGGTGTGTGAGTGAGTGAGAGGGTGGGCGAGTGAGAGGGTGTGTAAGTGAGTGAGAGGGTGAGGATGAGTGGGTAGTGAGCTGATATCTTTGCACATTACAAGGTCCTAGAGCAAAATAGAATTATTTTAAAGAAATGTTTTCATAGACTAAGTGTTAGTCTATACAAAGATATAATTGTCATATATTGTATTTCATATTTCACCCATACGAAACAGAACTCCGGTAAATTGATACAATTTAGATAGCAAATCATGTTATGCACACAAGGATGTTAAAACGTTTTCCTCTATAATAACTTTCCTCATACGGTCGATTGACAACAAACACACAAGGTTTACATAAGGGGGAGGGACACTCCATTTTTCAACCTGATTAAATAATATTGTCGTACAATATATGGCCACACAATTTACAAAATAAGTAAGACCCTAAGTGCCATAGCGTAAAACATTATGCACTCACTCACCTCCGTTGGGGTTCCATGGATGAACCTTTCCTCATCAAGGAAACTCGACTTGGTTTAGTTTGATCTGGACTTGCCTAGGCTTTTTGTATCTGTCTGTATGTATATCTATCTATCTATCCATCCATCCATCCATCCATCCATCTATTTATCTATCTATCTATCTAAGCTTCTAGTAAGAGGAGAGTACTGAGGATCGGGTGGTCATATCGGTGGTTGCATGCATGTCATCTTACCCCGAAGACGTGGATCGTTGCTCATGTTTTCAACCACTGGTTTGCCTGGTCCAGACTCGTTATTTTACAGCCTGCCATGATATAGTTTGAATATTTCTGACTGCTGCGTAAAATAAGGAAACGAATCAAAAATCACTAACGCAACGATACGTTGACAGGATATATTCGTACCAAGAAGATCCGGGTTTGAATAGGTCTTCAACAACTCACGTCACAACAAAGGTGACTATGCTTGTCGTAAGAGGCGACTAACGGGATAGGGTGGTCAAGCTTGCTGACTTGGTTAATATCATCGTATTCCAATTGCGTAGATCGATGCTCATGATGTCAATCACTGGATTATCTGGTCGAGAACCGATTATTTACGACCGCCGTCATATAGCTGGAATATTGCTAGGTGCGGCGTTAAACAACAAACAAAACCAAAACAAACACTTGTACTCGACCCATGAAGACCCTTGAGGATAGTATTTGTGTTTGTCTTCGCATCTCAACTGCGTAGATGATCATAATGTCAATCACTGTCGCTTATCATACAGACCGGCAAAACAAACAATCTTAACAAATGCAGCGTTCTATCACAGTGATGATAAGATATTTTACGACCACTTCCTGCTTAGTTGATTTCTTTCTCGCGTTCATCAGGTAGTGGACGTGAGAGGGTCCTATGCTTTGGGTGGTGGTTAGGTGAAATTGGGTTTAACGTCGCGTCCAAGATTACTGCACTTATATAGCGACTTGCCTGCATGTGTGTGTGTGGCTGCTTTGATTTAGTCCGGATGGATGCCGATTTATAGTGCTAGCTCACTGAGATACCATGCCGCAGTTTAACATGAATACCCTACTCACACACAGTCCTTTTAAGTCCGTTAATGCCGAACGCCACACAGGGTAACAACAAGTACCATCTGTTAACGTCTTTTGGTATGACGCGGCCGGGTATCGAAGCCCGGACCTTCCGCTCTCAGGACGGACGCTCTACCACTAGACCACGGAGGCGGTCCCCATGCTTTGGGACTAAAATATACACTATACTCGCCGTAACAGCTTGGGGTTAGATGTCGTAACCAGGGAAGTCAATGCAATGACACTACTATTGTTTCAGGAAGGACAGAGGGGAAACGACGAATTTATCGAAGGAATTGTGCGGGATGTCACCACTGGCAATGCCTATCCTTTATATTCAAAGTCAACAACACACACCTCTCTTTTTCATACGCAAGAAACAGTGGCGTTGGCCATCGACTATGCTCGCTACTCATACGTCACAATACAGGTGTTGACTGTCGACTAAAGTGAGCAAACGTACGTCACAATTTGAGTGTTGACCGTCGACCGTCTGACCAAACATACGTACCTCACAAAACGTGTGTCATTTGTCGATTAGACTGACCAATCATACGTCACAATATACAGGTGTTGACTGCCGACTAAAGTGACCAAACATACGTCACAATTTGCGTGTTGACCGTCGACCGTCTGACCAAACATACGTACCTCACAAAACGTGTGTTATCTGGCGATTAGACTGACTACCCAAAAGCCACAATACAGGTGACTGTCAAATAGACTGACCACCCCGACGTCTCAATACAAGCGTTGACCGTCGACTAGACTGATCAAGCTTACGTCATAATACAAGTGTTGCATGTCAACTAGGCTGTCCACTCATCCGTCACAATACAAGTGTTGACCGTCGACTAGACTGACCACTCATACGTCACAATACAAGCGTTGACCGTCGACTAGACTGACCACCCATACGTCACAATACAAGCGTTGACCGTCGACTAGACTGACCAAACATACGTCACAATACAAGCGTTGACCGTCGACTAGACTGACCACCCATACGTCACAATATACAAGCGTTGACCGTCGACTAGACTGACCAAGCATACGTCACAATACAAGCGTTGACCGTCGACTAGACTGACCAAACATACGTCACAATACGAGTGTTGACCGTCGACTAGACTGACCACCCATACGTCACAATACAAGTGTTGACCGTCGACTGGACTGACCACCCATACGTCACAATACAGTGTTGACCGTCGACTAGACTGACCACTCATACGTCAGAGTACGAGTGTTGACCGTCGACTAGACTGACGAATCATACGTCACAATACAAGTGTTGACCGTCGACTGGACTGACCACCCATACGTCACAATACAGTGTTGACCGTCGACTAGACTGACCACTCATACGTCAGAGTACGAGTGTTGATGGTCGACTAGACTGACGAATCATACGTCACAATACAAGTGTTGACCGTCGACTGGACTGACCACTCATACGAGTGTTGAAGGTCGACTAGACTGACGAATCATACGTCACAATACAAGTGTTGACCGTCGACTAGACTGACCACGCATAAGTCACAATACGGATGTTGACCGTCAGGCAGCTGTACCGACAACCACCATGGGTCTCTTGTCATCGAAATGTTTCCTTGAACAAACATTAGAAAACCTCCAGCGGGTACTTGACCTCAGTAAATAGCCACACGAAGAGCGGTCCATCTGAAGGCTCACTTCAAACTGCTGATCGAGGTCAATTATTCTTCCTACCCCCGTCTAAAACATGCCCCTGTGTTAACAAATGCTCGCTTGGCGCACGTGTGAATTCGCGCATGTTTCTTGAATGAGGTTTAATTCTGCTTTAAGCAGTGTTTCAGTTATAGCACGGCGAGACAGCTGAATCTTAGCGTAGATTTTCTTTTTCGGGATATTTCTGAAATTGAAGAGCTTCTATGGGTTCCTTTATAATATATATTGTAAGACAATTTATAAAACAATCTATATAACCACTGTTATTCTAGTGGTTGCAGGGCAGAATAGATGCGAAGTTCCCCGTGTCTGTTGTACGAGCCCACTAAAGGGGATGTCATCGGATGTGAGCCGTATCATCGCATTCCACAGCAGTCGTTGCTCATGCTATCAACCACTGGTATCCCAGACGCGATTATTTACAGGGCGTCATAAGTTAGCTGGGATATTACTGTCTGCCACAGAGGACATTCACTCACTCTCTGGCCACGCGTGAACACAATGGTCAACAAACCACTCTGTAATAGCTACGTTTGTATAAGTACAGGAATCTTAATTTTAACGTCATTACTGTTAGTGGTACCACAGCAAACTATTGCGATAGGTCATTTCAACATGCTGGCCAATTGCTATGGAAAACAAATTGCCACAAGAAATCCGAGAAACAGAAAATCAGACAAACTTTAAAAAGACACTCAAAACCAGTCTCTTCGAGAGAGCCTTTGACTAGATCAATCATGGTCTAGGTGCATTTGAGCCGTTGTTAATAGGACAATGCGCTCTACAAGTTCTTAATTGACTTTAATTAATTTACTGTTAACATAGATATATTTTTCAGGATTATAAAGCTTACAAACAACTTACATATTGAGTGGATCATCGTTCCTCAAGGCTACCATAGCGCTCCGTTACTACCATACATCGACATAGACTTTCAACAGCCTTTGGAGGTACGGGCCTGGGGAGTATACGCTATTCTGCATACACCTAGCATGTAAAGGCCCCATAAGTTTAAAGCACTCAAACCACATTTAAACATTAACTAATGTAATGTGCTAATGGTTTTACACTGAAACGATCACTGTGTTACATGAGCGTCCAATATTTTCATTTCATGAATACAGTATACCCAGTGCGTTCAAAATAACAGAGGGAGTGTTGATGCAAAGCCCTGGCGTATCAATCAGATTGCAATTAAACATCATCCCGGAATATGGTTACAATTTATGAAGCAGAGCGAAGCTTTCTCTTAGCAAGAAGGCCATTAACACTTCGTTTTCATTCACCTCGGTCCCGGGAGATCCCGGCGCTGCAGCAAATGTTGTTTTTTCATCGGGCCGCAAGTACAACTGTGCTTCAGAGATTGTATTGATATTTTGCGCACGTAACATGAAAAACTAACATGCATCAGGATTGAGTTGGATAAAGAACTCTCAAAATATGGGGAATCAGGATTCGTTTGAGGAAAATCGTCTCGTGTGTCTTCATTTCATTTTTCTCCCTGTGATCTACACAACTAAAAACGGGAAGGGGTTATTTGCTTCAATGTTGAATATGTAACCCAGAGAATGCTTCAAGACAACTGGGTCTGGAACTGTCTTTCAGATGCCTTCATAGATGTTGGTAGATTTATTTCATTAAATATCAGAGGGGATGATGACCATTGGTGCGGTTATGAAACATTTGTAAATGTCATGATTTGATAAAGGTACAGTTGGTATATTGTCACATTTCATAGGCCAATCCATATCAAATTATGTGAGTTCTCTGAAACCCCGTTTAACCATCTTCTTTTGTTCAAGGTATACCTCCATTCTATAATCGTGTACTAGATAATCACGGGTTCGTTTAGTCGGACGGCATTAGCTTTGCTCCAAGGATGTACTGAAAGAAAAGTCCTTGAATGTGTAGTAATTTCACCCTCCCAATAGGCAAGTCTAGATAAGATAAGATGATATTTATTGCAGAAACGTTCCATTACGGGACAGATGCAGATATGTTGACAGTAAGGACTCAAGTCTCTATTAGGGACAACTTGTTCTTGTTATTTACATAATTTAGAACTTATGATTTAAACTAATAATTATTGCCTTAGAGACTTGTGGAAGTCTATGTTACCATTAGAATCGTCCGAATAAAAAAATCCAGATTATTGAAACATATAATGTAAAATAATGTAATATAATAGATGCTCCCAAAAACAATAATCGCCAACTGTGTAGGAGATGTATTGTCTTTACTTGGAAGTATTTTCTTACAGTCGAGTCAGTCAGTCCGTGTACAAGTGAGTCAAATACATTGAACATGACACTGGAACGAATCACACGCTGAGTACGAGACGTGTAGCAGAGAATTATTTTAGTAAAACAAGCACGAGAACAATTATTCCTTTGGGAAAACCTCCCGCGTTCACCGCGCAAAGTCATTTCTCTTTGACAATCCGGTCATTTTTTAGTGAATTCTACTGTCCGTCTTTATTATATCCAATTGACATTAACACAGACTGATGACATTCAAAATCTTAATGATGGTATATTTCTGTAGTCGCTTCAACAAGTGGTTGAATGTTAGGACATGCAATGGCCAGGGGGACAAATTGGCTCTAAACAGAAAGATCAACCGGGCTATTTCCTCCGTCTCATATGTCTCACCCCCCATTTCAGCTTACCCCCACCCCCACCACTGCTTAACCCCACCCCCACATGCCTCCTTCCCCGTGACCTTCTGTGTGTCTCGTCCTCGCTGTAGCGCGGGCTTTGTGCTACAACAGCGGTGTGCGGCGTATACAGGAAACTGAGAGAGCGGTTGCAGCTTGAGCATGTCATGTGTCGCAATATATGGTTCAGTCCTGTGTTCCGCCTGAGTCAAGTGTTGACCGTCGACCAGTGAGGATGGCAAGGATTAACATATGGATTATTTGTCTGCTGGGGGTCGTGCTGCCTGGGAATGGTAAGTCGTCATTAGTTAAGTAGGTCATGTGATGCTGGCGACAAACTTCTCCTTGAAGTTGGCACCATGGACGTTACGTAGAATTTTTAAACCAGGGATTTTAAATTCTGATTTAATTTCCTCTTTTATTTTGAGACGTTTTGTACATAGTAGAGAGAGAGAGAGAGAGAGAGAGAGAGAGAGAGAGAGAGAGAGAGAGAGAGAGAGAGAGAGAGAGAGATTAATTTTGCCCAGAGAGTCAAATGTATGTATTTTATATGAGGTTATTGAATTATGTTTTTGTCTAACAATATTGACCCTGGACTATAATACCACCATGTATACATATATACAGGCAGATATCGTTCAGACGTATATCAAATGATCACTACATGCTAGATTCTACACGTTAATATTGAAACTTCGTGACTGAAACGCGTGTAAGGAAACGGATTACGCGCCCTGTTGATTCATCCAATTTAACCCCAAGTTTGTGTTACAAAGGGAAGTTAATATTACATCGACAGAGCAGGACATTTATGGGACCGTATCTTGATTGTACCTGTCGCTCATTATCAATAGTTGTGTACTTCAGGTGTTGAAATAAACAACATTTAGATAGGTTTAAATACGTGACTGCATTACATCATAAGCAAAGATAAGATATAATTAATAAAGTGTCGCCACACGGCTGTGGCGCCGGTCATATATATTTTTTCTTTTTAAAAATAATATTTTATATTATTTATAATCATTATTTTAATTTTCTGTTGTCTTAATTATGTTGTTATTTTTTACTTTTTTAATTGATTTTTTATTTGTCACATTTTTATTTTCAAATTTATTTCATATATATTTTTTTTCCCTGTTATTTGGGGATGGAGCTGGGAGTAGTTTGGTGAGAAAACAAGCAACATTTGAAAGTTTCGTATTACATGTTATGTTTAAGTAGATAAGACGTTGAGAAGCCTGAAGTGAGCAGGATAGTCTGTCTTACAGACCCTGATACAAATATATCAAATACAGCCCATGCAAGTCTATAATGTTTGGCAAGTCTAGATTTCTGCAGAAAATGAAGAGAGTCTCTTTTTATTAACATTTTATTAAGGTAATTTAACAACTATATTTGTTCTGGGCGATATGTTCATTTCAGAGACCAGATGTTAGTCAATGACCAGGACATGTGTGCGATGTAAGTTGATGAATTCCTGTCGGAAGAGTAGGACGCCGACAGGAGGCCACACCGCAGCCAGCGCGGCCTATTTTGATTAACTTTCTTACACAATAAAAACATGTGCTTTCTATTAAGTTGGTGACAGTGCTAAATATAGCTAGGGAGGGGAGAGGTTGGGCAGAAGAATGTGTCGAGATGCCTGATGAAATTCTCACTCTGTTATGTAAACTAAACTATTTCGACACATGTTGGCGTAATTCTAAACGTCTCCTGCACATGTTTGAATGTTTGCGTAATTCGACACACCCAAAATGAGCTCAACCGTTAACAGGTTCACGGTGTCAGATTATTGATATGTTTCATTGTATAATGTAGATGTGTGTAGATATATGATGATATGGTTACACAACAATCTAAATGAAATCATGGACAACGTAAAACTTTCTTGAATAAAAATACTATTCGTGTTCTGCTAAACGGCCCTCGAAATCTGAGACGAAGATTATATATTGTGATATGTCAAAGAATACCAAACAGTGAATTAATATATGGTATGATTTGGTACCATGGAAAAATATCGTTTGTTTAAAACACACGCAGAGAATGATATTCCTTTCTGTGATTGAACTTGATGAATAAATCAACTTTCTGGCAGGCACAATGCCAAGTTAACACGTTTATGTTAAAGACATACCAAAAGGTTATTAATACAAATCCCTCTTCAGCCAAACTGCACCCCCAAACTGCACCCATCTCGTCCCGGGTCCCTCCATATAACACACCTCCCCAACCCCCACACCCCACCCTACCTAAAATAATTGTCTATCCTTCATTGCACATTCCCGCACACTCCTAGTCCGAGTATCTTCCTTACCGTGCACCATGGCGTCAGGCGGAGCTATACATCAAGTATTTGTAAAGTTCTCACGCAACAGATGGCAGTTTTACCCCTTTTATTGTTTTCTTCAACCCCAACCCCGAATCTTTCTCTCGTATACTGTCGCTCAAATTTTATCTCCTGGCCCCGGCGTATTTTTTTTGTATTCATACAGAATTTAAATTGACGCATAGCCCTCACGCCACTCTCATTAATAATTTCCCTTTGAATCGCGGGCTTCGAGTTTTCGAGGGCAGGTGGTTTGATAGGGACTGGATACGGTTTCAGCACTTTTGTTCACAGGGAATGTTGTGCCCTGTCTGGGCGAGTCCATATATTGCATTATCTCATTAATACACATTCACCTATCTCCGATAATGGTATGATCTGATTTCGAATTTAAATGCCTGGTTTTGAGGAAGTCGTTCGCATAAAAATTGAACTCAAGTTCATGAGTTATGTGGACCTGTAATGCTGAATCCCTTGACGCAAGTGTAGATTTTCCCAGGTTCCGAATCTGCCATCTCACTGGGGCTCCTCTTCAGTTTAAATGAATTTATTTGTTTCTATCAAAATTATATATTTTCAGAGACTAAGCGTTAGTGTCAGCTGGAAATGCATTCTATAGAAGGGGTATCTGGGTGTCTGTTCCAAAACTTCCAGGTAACTGTGACAGGAAGTATCAAACTTGCTTCAGAAAGTATTAATTTACCCCTCTACGCCCCTTTAGCCCTTTACTCGATCGTTATTTTCCCTGTCACCCTTCAAACTGGGCTCCGTGCTAACAATGTGCGATAGGCGGTACAATCCTCTCCTCTATAACAGGTATTAGTATGACTCCCGTCAAATGCGTAAGCCCACGGTAACAGTTGAAAGATGTGTCGCCTTCTTTACTCAACCTACCCTCAATCTCTGTCATGTACTTCAATATCTGGCGCTATGGTTATAAATGAAATACAACTTCTTTGTGTCCCAACCACCAACACCGTCCTTGAGAGACGTGACAGTGAAACATTGAGACAGTGAGTGAGAGAGAGTGAGAGATGGACAGAGAGAGACAGAGGCACATAGAGAGGGAGACAGTGAAACAATCAAAAAGAGATAGCATATAGAAGAAGAACAGTTTCGTATTGACGTGAGAGACGAAGGTATGGAGAGGGAGAGAGAGAGAGAGAGAGAGAGAGAGAGAGAAACAATCAAAAAGAGATAGCTTATAGAAGAAGAACAGTTTCGTATTGACGTGAGAGACGAAGGTATGGAGAGAGAGAGAGAGAGAGAGAGAGAGAGAGAGAGAGAGAGAGAGAGAGAGAGAGAGAGAGCACCCCTATACACTCTCCCGCACCAACAGCAAACACTTATGACCTTTTCACATCGACATATCTTTGTTAAAATATCCCAAACACAACCCACAATTCCAATGACACGCGACGACCCCTATCCCTATACCAGATATCGACTATTAGAAACGTTCCGTTACAAGACGCCATAACCTCAGAGGGCTTGCTTTATGACCATGCGATACAACAATAGCTCACCGGATATTGGGGGTCACACTTTCACCCTAGCAACTTGTCGGCTGCACTATCGCTTGAAACTATCTTAAAATCTCCTTTACCAATAACATTCGAGACCCATGTGACAAAACATCAATTTAAAGGCGGATGTCAGTTATAAGCTTACTATACATCTGAAAGTGATGGTTTCTCTCAAAATATATTGATGTGGATTTTGAATTTAAGACTTTTAGGAAATGAAATGTCACGTCTAGCTTCGAAATTCACCGTTTGTGATAGATGTAGCTATTTCAATGCTGGGGGACGCTGTATAAAAACCAAGATATTCGGGAAAAGTTTACTTTTCATCACACAAAAAAGCATGGTCCATAAATACGAAGTCAATATAACAAAATATTTTTGTATTCACTGAGTGGTTTAATATTCTTTTGGCGGATGTCTGAATCACACACACACCCGGAACACATATTCAAGTTTTAATTAAAATATCTAAAAAGGCTAGGGGAAAAGCTTGTTAATTCCGTGATTTTAAGCATCAAATGTAAAAGGATCTCGTGGGAAGTCATGGCCGTCAGTTTAGAAATCCGCCGAGAAGGTTTGTGACATGGTGGGATTCCAGACCCAATTGTTATTCTATCAGGGCTGGTGCCGCGTCAAAGGGGCAGCCCATCATGAATGTGTTTATTAGACAAGAGTGCCGTTGCAGCGTGTTGTCTGGATTGCCGTATATATGGCATTCACGTTGTTTTAACTCTGTCCATTCACTACGATTGTGCCATATGGATTATAGTGAGTGAGTGAGTATGGTTTTACGCCGCTTTTAGCAATATTTCAGCAATATCACGGCGGGGGACACCAGAAATGGGCTTCACCGTGATGAGCGAACGCTTTAACCACTAGGCTACCCGACCGCCCCATATGGATTATAAGATCAGTACTAATAAATATGGTCACCTTAAATGTTTGAATCATCAAATCAATATTTAGATCCGAACTTGTAGTTGGACAATATTTTGATCAATTATGTAAAAGTTTTCACTAATTCAGTTTCGACCATCACATCGACCCGTGAAGATCAGGATGGAGAATAGGTCTTCAGCAACCCGTAAGAGGCCACTGTGCGAATACGGGATCGGGTGATCAGGCTTGCTGACTTGGTTGATGCATGTCACCGTATCCCAAATGCGTTTATCGATGCTCATGATGTCAATCACTGGATTGTCTGGTCCAGACTCGATTATTTACAGACCGCCGTCATATAACTGGAATATTGCTGAGTGCGGCGTTAAACAACAAACAAACAAACAAACAAACAATAGAACATTATACCAAAAGGTTCCAGTTGAATAAGGTCGTTGGAGCCAAGTACTATTTATTAAAAGGAAATGTAATTGATGTGATAGCTGCGATGTTGGTGATGAATTTCACGCACTCTTCCATTGTAAGTATCCTAAAA